TCGCTGGACAGTGAGTTTTTGTCCATTTGTTTGTCTTCTCTTTCAGGTGTAAGGAAGAGCAGAGACATGAAGAGAACGAGCAGACTTAACTAACTAGCTTCTCCCTCCCCAAGACACTGTGAGAGATAGGACCAACCGTCTCTGGCTACTTTTCTCAGGGTCTCTTCAATACCATGCTCGTCTTTGGACGTTTGGAGAAGGAGCAAGCATGGAAGCTATTTTGAAGAGAGAAAGCTAAACTATTTCAATGCACTATCACTTGGGGCCAAAGGATGTCACTGGCAGTGAACTTTTTTTTTTTAATCTAGGCACGCTGTAATAGCTTTGCCCTCTAGATTTTTTTTCTAATATTCCTTGCAGGCTGAGAGAGGTTCCCCCCCTACACCAACAAAATGTGTCGCTTAACGAGTGGTTGACGAAATAGAAGGAAAAGCCCGCCTTCCTTGGGCTGCCTTTAGGTAGTGCAATATGCTGATGGACCTAGCCAATTAGCCAGCTGAGGGCTCAGGAGGGTGTATGCCCTTACTCCACAGGAGTAACCCAACGTTCCCTATCTCGTCCACAGCCACAGTCCTTCCAAGCCCAAGTGGAGACGAATGGGCCTCTGAGCCGTCTCATTGACCTTGAAGAAAGGATTCTGCTGGTGAAGTGGGCTAAGCACTGGGCTGCCAACGCACAGGTTGGCAGTTCAAAACCACCAGCTGCTCCACAGGAGAAAGACGAGGCTAGTCTGCTGCCGCAGAGATCAAGGACACGTCTCCTCTGCCCTGTAGGGTTGCTATGCGTTGGGATGACGTGACGGCAATGGGTACGTTAAAGGCTCGTCTCCAGACTTCTGGTTTAAGATGAGGGATGAATAGAATTGACTATCTCTGCTCCTGCCCACTAAAATAAGGGAGAGAAACAAATATACAAACCTATAAGGGAAGGCAAAAAGGACACAAGTATATGAGATATATCCAAACCGTCAGAAGAGGACAGTAGATGGCAGAATCGTGACTGATTTGGCAGTACAGAGGACGATGGATAGAGGGAGCAGGAACCTAAGAGCCCAGAGAAGACGATGCCAAAGGAAAACAAGTGGATTTGTCTCACACAACGTCTGCATGACTCAGGGAACTGGGGTCCTGGGAGCGATGGAGGGTGGAGGAGGTGGCGTTGTTCCTGTTGGAGTCACTGTGTCGGTTCTGACTCACTGATCCCACGGACAACCGCACAAAACACGTCTGGCCCTGAGCCAGCCCTGTAACCAGCACTGTCCTCGAGCCTGTTTATGCAGCCACGTTTTCAATTAACTCAGGGAGGGTCGTCTTCTTTCAATGACCCGCTCTGCTTTTCAAAGCATAACGTCCTTCTCCGGGGACTGGTCTCTCCGGTCACATGTCCAAAGTATGTGAGAGGAAGTCCTGCCAGCCTCACTTTTAAAGAGCATTCGATTCTGGCTGGACTTTTTCCAAGACCTATTTGTTTGTTCTTCTGGCAGTCCACGCCTATCAAGATTCGTTATCAACACCATCGTTCACCAATGCATCAGCTATGCTCTGTCTTCTTTACTCACGGCCAGGACTTGCATGCATACAAGGTAACTGACCCAGGAGGCTTGGGTCAAGCACTCAATGTGACATCATTGCTATTTAACAATTTTAACAGGTCCCATGTAGATTTTCCCAATGCAATGCATCGTTCGATTTGGTGACTGCGGTTCCTGTGGGTATTGATTGTCATCCAAATAAAATGAACTTCTCGACAACGTCAATCTCTCTCTGTCTGCCATGGTGACGCTGAGGTATAATCCATACTGAAGTCGTACTCTCCAGTCAGTCCGCCTGCCCTTTAAGCAAGTGAGATCGTGTCCCTGCATGTCATAGGCTGTGAGTCTTCCTCTAATCTTGGGAAGAGATCACGGCGTCCTGGAAAATTTCTAAAACTTGGCTCAATGGAAAAATCTGCATATTTGTACTACCCTCTGAATCCGGATTTATCTAAAATTAGAATATAGCCATATTTGGCTGATGGGAATGGGGAAAAGTAAGACAATGGTGTGTGTGTGTGTGTGTGTGTGTGTGTGTGTGATAGAGAGAGAGAGAGAGAGAGGAATTCAGAGTCTCATGCTTCAAATGTAAACAGAAAGGTAAGTAACAGCAGCAGGGGAGGGAATGGAGCGTGGCGGCCCCTGTGGAACATGCTAGGCACTGCAGCCCTGAGAGAGAAACTCATGTTTACAACTACGTGACCTTTGAGAAATCATCTGCCTGTGGATCTCGATAAACATTCAGTTTTAATGGGCTTTTTTTATTTCTAAGTAGATGAAAAATGCGTAAGTAACGGTTGCAGACCCTTGGCTGGGGCCTGAGCCCACCACAGATGTGTGTGTGCAGGAGCAGTGTGGGTCTCGTGTGACCATGCACACTATCCCCTCCGGACTTCCCACAGCCCCAGCTCTCCAGTGACCCCTTTCCCTGGAGGAGACAACCAGGACTTCAAAAGGTGAGGAACTGGCCATTCGAGCCTAATGCTTCCTGCTCCCGCCTGAGCCTCCTTCCTCTTCCCAGGATCCTTTGTCATTACAGAAGGGTCAGCACACACACAGCCCTAAACAGTGACCCCCAAGGAAGCCCCAGTGGGCTCTACTGTACAAGCATGAAAAGATACAAGCCACTCTTCTGAGTGTCTCCTGCACAAGAGGAGGCTGTGCTCACAGCACAGGATATGGTTTGGGAACTCCTCACTTCTACCTTTCCCAGGGGAGGGGGCCCTGGGAGGAGACCCGCTGCTCCGAGATGCAAGGCCACCCCATCCCTGATGACTGAGGGATCGGGACTGCGGGCTGCCCTCAGGCCTGTGCGTCCCTGATGGGACACAGCTCTCACTAGCAGCAACAGGAAAGCCGCCCTGACTGGATGCCAAGAGGGGAGGTGGCCGAGGTCTCCCCACGCAGGTGTTGAAGACTAGTCTCTTGCATCTGAAGAAAACTTGGCAGAGAAAGCCGAGCCACCAACCTCAGAGCAAACCTTTGCATTCCAGGGCCCGAAAACATGACACAGCAGTCCCTGGGCGGCACCATTGGTGAAGTGCTGGGCTGTGGACCGAAAGGTTGGCAGTTCGACCCCACCTGGAGGCACCTTGGGAGAAAGGCCTGGCAATTCCCTTCCAGAAAACCACCCCCTGACAGCCCTATGGAATGCAGCTTTACTGACACATAGGGGCCACCTTGTCAAACACGGTATGAGACCATGGCTAGTGCTGCCTCCAGCTTCCCCGTATGCAGACAATTTTGTACTGGCTTTCTGGACAGACAAAGCAGAGGCAATGACATAACCTTCTCCTGACCTTTCAGCGATCAGCCACGGGTTGAAGGAGCCGACAGCGTCATGAGAGATCAGCCGGAGGTAGCGCTCAAAGCGACTGCAGTAGTCGCCGATGCTGTGCAGCATGGCCGGGGGGATGAAGAGGTGAGCCCGGCCCTCGCTGGGCTGCGCGTCTCCTGGAAGGGAGAGGAGGGACACCTCCCTTTTCTTCCCGCTCTCCTCCGTGCTCACACTGTCATCCAGGGAACTGGGAGCACAGAGAAGCGATGGCAGCAGTCACAACACTCTGTCAGCCAAGGCCGGCTGTTTACTCACCTGGGGGCTTGAACCGGCTCCCCCAGAACAAAGCTCAGCCTCCTCCAGCCACTTACCGTTTCCCTCCACATGCTCCCCAAAGCCAACCTGGTGGCTATTATCCGTCAAGCCCACAATGCGATGCTTTCAATACCGACTAAGGGTTATGGAAAACCGACCAGCTGAAGATGCGGCTTACTCGATGCCCATTTTATAAATACTCGAGTTTAGATGCATCTGATTTAGTTGACGCACCTGGAGTTTGGTGAGATCCTGGCTCAAGACAATTCCCCCATGCCTTGTGCGAACTGAAGGAATTCAACGAGCCAGGGAAGCCAGCCCCACGGCCACTTACTTGCCATTCCAAGGCCTCTCAAGCACAATGTTCACCTCGGGGTCTCTGCGGGCCGCTGTCTTAGTGATCCTGATCGGATGAGGCGGCAGGGGCCGCTCATTGACTGCTGGGGCATTCTGGTCTAGAAAAGGAGAGGCAAACAATGATTGCACAGAAAGAAACGCCCCCGCACTGACTAGTTAACTCTAATTAAAGCCCAGGAGCCCATGGGGCTGCTAACCTCAAAGTCAGTGGTTCAAAACCGCTAGACACTCCACGAGACCAAAAAAAAAAAAGACACTGCCCACTCCCAGAAAGAATTACATTCTTGGAAACCCACAGGGGGCAGTTCTACCCTGTTCTATAAGGAGGCTGAAGTTGGAATTGACTTGATGGAACTGAGTTTTTATTTTGGAATTAATGCCCGGTGGTGCTGTGGTTTAGGCATTGAGCTATGAGTGGGTTCAAACCCACTAGGGAGAAAAGGATGAGGCTGTGGCTGTCAGAAGAACTATGTAGGGTCGCTGAGTCAGGAGAGACAGCGGCAGTGGGCTTGGGTTTGATGATGTTCTAGCGGCCAGAAACTGCCAAGAAAATGAACATACGGATTTCTGAGCAGTTAGCTAGTGAGTGGATCGAGGGCCAGAAATGCTCTTGTCTTACAGAAAAAGCTGCAGTAAAAAGTTACACATGAATAAAATAAAGGAGACTCGCTGCTAAGAAATACCTGCCCGCCCCTCGGTTGCCTCTGCTGGCTGTGAAGGGGCCGGTGCGGACCCTGCTGCCCTCCGGGGTTCTGCTAAGCCCCAGCCAACACCGACTCAAGCAGCTGAGCAGGTTTATAACCTTTGAACAGTTTGCTGATGGCGCTGGAGCAAACCACCCCCACCTGTGCACCTAATTAGCTGATTGAATTTGCCTGTGGGCGGTGCTGGGAAAACCTGCATGCGGACCGTCAAAACATTAATTTATTTACTCCACTGTGCCAGCTCGACAACATGGCTGAGCCCTGGGTCATAGAGTCTTTTGAAAGTAAGGCCAGTGTAGCGGGAGCTTTGTCCTTCTCTGTAAGGCAAAGAGCACTCATCAGCCCAGCACCTTTTCCTGCCTTACACTTACAAGCCTTCTGATTTCTTACCATCCAACAGAAAGGAGGGATGAAGTCGTTTTTGTCAAAATATCGGCCTGTGCACACTATCCAAGTGTCCGGGGCAGCAGGGGACAGAGAGGAGATGACAGCGGGCAGGAAGGCCCCAGCAAGGGCTCCCTGGACATCTGGCTTTGTGATGCCATCGAGCCTATACCCACCAGGATTCACCAGAAACCCATTTCAGCACTTCATGCTCAGACGGGTTCCTTTGACGTGCACAGCTATGCTAGGCACAGCTGCACATGGTGAGCAGTAACCGAACTTGTCCTGAGGGAACCAGGGGCAGTGAGTGCCGAGAGCCTGTCTTCTGGCGTCCTCGAACGGAACCCTGGGGCCAAGGGCCAGACCACCAGTTCTCTTCACCCTCACTATAAAATGAATGCCCACCAAAGGCATGCTGAAACGGGCACTGCTTCACTCACAGTAATGAGAAGAGCCCACCCAGTGGGGGGTGAGATGGCACACAGAGCGGGTATGAAAGACTCTCGAGGGGCCTGCACCTCAGCCTGGCTGGGGGAGACAAGGCATCGCCACACCCCACAGCGGAGCATGCCCCAGAGGGCTGGGCGTGTTTACACACAAGAAGAGAGAGGTAAGCGCCCTTAGGGGTCGAGGAAAAGCTTGTCGCAAGGAGCATCGTGAGGCGGGAAATGGTCTGATCTTCAGGTGACAATGAAAACGGGCATCAGGGTAGCATTGGGGGGGGGCGGGGTGGCAAGAGAGGACAACAAAAACGAAAGACAGGATGTGGAAATGACATAAAGGGGGCATGTCAGTATCACGGTTCAGATGACGCATCATTCTGTCAAAACGCACCACTCTTTCTAGAAGATGATACCCAGACACACATTTTCAAATGAAAGCACGTGTCCTTGGAACCTCACAATCTCCCTTCCACCCTTTTGTAACTCTGGTATTCACAATACTTGCATTCCATTAGAATTCAACCCGCTTTTCCTCTCTCTGCGTGGGACAGCAGGGAGTCCGTGAAGAAGAGCACTCGGAGTGAGATGGTGTGCCACGCGGCTGCAACAATGGGCCCAAGCAGAACAACCGAGAGCATGGCACCTGAATTGGCAACGCTCTGTTCAGCACCATCACCACTGCTCGTCACTGCTCAACTGCCAGTATGTGGTGACGTGGTGCTCTGTGAGGCTGGAAGCGGTGGTGAGGGCACTTTAAATACCAGCAGGGCTACCCCTGGTGGACAGGCTTCAGCAAAGCCTCCAGATGACAACAGAGGGCTGGCAACCTGCTTGCGGAAAAAGTCCGCTTGTTGGGGGAGAGTTAGGATGGCTGATCCCCAGAGCTAGAGCCTTTGGGTCGAAACTTAGTGAACACTTAATTGGCAGAGCTAAAACAAACTTTGTAATACTTTCTCAAGACAGTAGTCAGGCTGTGGGGCTAAGGGCCAGAGAAAGAGGCTTGCTTGTGAGCACTGATGAGAAGAGACTGTCCTAATTAAAGAACTGTATCCTGAGAGTTCCTGATCTTGAATTATAATCAACTAATTCCCTAATCAACTCTAATCATGAATATTATCTATGAGTCCTTTGTGGCCACTGCAAGGAATTACTGAACCCAGAACCCAAGTACGGAGTGCCATGGGAGCGATGGTTGGTGTCAGGATGGGTGGAGAGATGCAGGGATTTCTGACCTCTGGGTTATGGGAATCAGCCTTAGATGTTCATTTTAATTCTCCATTATCCTTGTGAAGTCAGGGGTCAGATGGTGCCCCCCTCCCCCATTTGGTTTGGTGAAGGGCTGGTTTTTTGGGGTTTTTTGTTTTTAATTAGTTGAGATCTAATACATCTATCATCATTCCATATTTCAATCACATCAAGTAGAACATATAATTGCTACCACAATCAGTTTCCAAATATTCTTTTTCTACATGGACTCCTTGGCATCGTGTCTCTTTTACCCCCATGTCATTTTTATACTCTTGAATGTAGAAATTTGCTCTTAAATGTAGAGTAGCTAAAGCAAAGTGAAGAAATGATCAAGTCAAAGAGCTGAGCAAAGGTTTCGGAAGTTCAAGAAAACAAAGCATTATACAGAAATGTGCAAAGCCTAGAGCTAATTAACAGGGAGAATGTCCTGAGCATTTCCCCAGCTGGGAGAAAGGGAGAGGCACTAAAGCTGGACTTCCAACATGGAAGGAGTCTATGGTCAAAGCAGTCAGCGGTGCAGGAAGCATCAAAAGGAGATGGAAAGAATATAGTCACTGGACCAAAGAGAACTCGTCAGCATCGCACCATTTCAGGAGACCGCATTCAATCAAGACCAACGACCGGTATCGAAGGAAGACACCAGGCTGTGCCGCAGGCACTGGTGAAAACCAAGCTCTGGAATTTGGCAGAATTACAATGGAGATGTTTCAACAAAGGGGTATAATGCTGGATGTGCACGCTTGTCTACGCCGAGCACGTAGGAGAGAAAGAGAGTCCCTGCCCAACCCACTGAAGAGACCCACGTTATGCCTATTCCAAAGAAAGGTGAGGCCAGGGAATGTAGAAATTATCCATAGAAACTAATTATTTGTATATACATATGTATTACACTATATATATAATACACTAGATAGATATCACATACACACAAGTCAAGTTTTTCCAAGGTTATGCCAGAAATTGTTCCAGTACAGCACTGACCAGGAACTGCTAGAAATTCAAGCCAGGTTCAGAAGAGGGCATGAAATTAAGGGTGATTGTGGCTGAAATCAGAGAAGCCCAGAACGATGTTTACCTGTATCTCTCAACTCTCAGAGGCATTCAACTGCGCAGATGGTAACAAACTCTGGATACCACTGTGAGGAACGGGAACTCCAGAACATTTCATTGTGCGTGTGCAGAACCTGTATGTACGTACGTGAAGAGTTGCTCAAAGGTGAGACTTTATCTGATGCACCCTGGACGTGTGGCCATGTCTCAAAGAGAGGACCCTCAGCAAGATGGGATGCCGGCGCAGGGGTCAAACAGCAGTGACGGCAAAGACAGCGCACCGCCAGCCGCGGCTCCTCTGTCCTGCGCAGGGGTCTCCAGGAGTCAGAGGCCACGCGACAGCACTTAACAGCCTTTTACTGAACAAGGGAGCACCTAACTGATAAGCATGTCTGTCCAACACTTCCCGTCAAAATGGTGATAGTAGCGTAGCAACTGCAGTCAATACATATGCATGATTTTTTTTTTTTTTTTAAGGAGGAAAGAAAAAGGAAGGCGTTTTCAACTTTGTGGTGCCGTTTTTTCCAGTAGGGGGAAAAAAGTAAAAGACCCCAACCACCGCCTTAACCGTACACCTTAAATCCTACACAGATCACAGACAAGCCTAGACGCTAAAACCACAGAGGAACGTGTCTGCTCAACTTGGGGCAAGGAAAGGTTTCTAAGATCACAGAGAACAAAGATCACACAATACACTGATAACTACAAAATAATTTCAAATGTCTACTTAAGACGTCTTTGAGAAAATTAAATAGGTGAGCCACAGATGGGGGAAGTACTTACAAGACATCTATCTGACTAGATGAGTGATTGCCAGGGGCTGGGGGGATGGATGTAGGGGCTTTTGTTGGGGTGATGAAAATGTTCTGGAATCACAGCAGTACTGGTTGCACAACTCTGAGAATAAACTAAAAATCACTGAATCGTGTAGTTTAAAAGGGTGAATTCCCTGACATATGAATTACCTATCAATAGACTATTATTAAAATAAACAGCACCACACTTATATCACCCAACGGGCTCACCCTCAGACCACAAAGAATTCATGAAACCCAACAGCACCATCCCGCAGGTTCTGAGCACTGCCAGGGACCCAGGACCCGAAGGGAGCCCACGGCACGACACTCTCCCAGCCCCCGAGAGGCTCCATGAAGAGCTGCCCCCCCGACGCTGCGCAGACCCGGCCACTGGGGCTCTCCAGACGCCAACACGGGCCGCCCCATCAGCAAAGAGCACGACCGCTTCTTGGACAGGGACACGTTCCATGTACCCGGTGACTGGGAAAGACTACTGTTCGGTACTTGATCAAGAGGAGAAGAACAAATGTCCACACTTGAATATATCCATAACAGCCCCAAGCTAGAAATAACCGAATGTGTGCCCACCACAGGCGAATGGGCAAACTCGCTGTGGCAGATCCCTCGAGGGAAAACTGCTCCGCGGTAAATGGAGGCACGAACGGCTGACTGGAGTGGGGGAGGCGGAATAATGGTGCCCCTCAAGGGGTCCTCGTCCTCATCGCCAGAGCCTGGATTGTTACCCCAAGGAGGGTATGGATTTCAAGGTGGGGAAAGGGTCCTGTTATCCCGTGGGCCCTCTAAGTGGGATCACCAGCACCCTTACAGCAAGCAGGCAGAGGGAGATTTGACTTCAGAAAAAGACGTGTGAAAATGGAAGTGGGGGTCTGAGCAATGCCGTCACAGCCAAGGAATGCCACCAGCTGGTGAAGCTGGAAGACAGAAGAAGCAAAGCCACCTCTGGAGGTCCCAGGAGGAACCAGCCCTACCAGTGCGCGACTGTAGTTCTGGTACGGTTCACTTCAGACTTCTCACCTCAGAGCTGTTACAGCTGTTGTTTTAAGTCAATCAATTTGTGGTAATTCTCTACAGCAACAGGAACCTAATACGACGAGGAGCACATGCAGATACAACTAGAACACAGTACAGACATATGAGAATCAAACCAGACCCACTGCCACACAGCCAGTTCTCACTCCGAGAAAGCCTGCACGACCGGGCAGAGCTGCCCTGAGGGTTTCTCAGACTGTAAACCTTCACGGGAGCAGTGAGACTCAGCTTTCTTCATGGAGCAGTTGGTGGGTTAGAACTGCCGACCTTGCGGATAGGAGACTAATGTTTAACCCACCGTGCCGCAAGGGCTCCTTAGAATATAACACAAAGGCTGTAAGATAGTACGCTGAATGAAAGAGGCCTTAGACAAAGAAGTACATTCATACGACTGCATTTAAATGCAATTCTAAAATAGAAAAAGCAATATATAGTGGAACAAACCAGGTCGTCCACCTTTGTCCCACCACGTGTATTTGATTTTCTGCTCTAGAGAGTGGCATGAGGCAACTCTCTGATGTTCTGTATCCTGGTAGGGGGTTGAGTTAATAAAGGTGTATGCATTTGTCAAAATCCACAGAATGACAGCAGTTCAGATTTGGGCCATTTGTTATGTAAATTAATCTCCAAAGAATAAGAACCCTTAGTAAATATTAAACTCTAAGTCCCGATGTACACGCTGCGGTGCTTTTGGATGACATCTCTGAGATGCATCCAGAAGTCAGGTGCATTCGTGGGCGGACAAGAGAGGGAAGCACACAACGAGGCAAAGTGAGCAAAATGCTCACTGTCAGATGTCAAAAGTGGGTGTCTGGGTGTCCACCACAGAGTGGTTTCAATCTTTCTGTAGGTTTGAAATGTATCATAACAAAATTAGGGGTTCACACAGGAGAAACACTCACCTTTTTCTTCCTGCATCAAAAAACGAGGATCCGAATATACAATTGTATTGTATCTTTGGCGAACTGTCTCCTGGTATTTCTTAAGAACAAAAAACCAACAGGTTTCATTACAAACTAGAACACTCAAGGATTTAAGAATTTTAGCAGGTTATTTCAATAGAGTCAAGGAATGGTTATAGAAGCAGGCCAATGCCAGGACAGGAAATGATTGGTTCATGAGATAAAGCGGTCATCCAGATTGGCTCTGACCACTGGAACTTGCTGAGATCACAGAAACGTCCTCTATCTTCCCTATCCTGCAGGTTGCTGCTGACTGCCTTCAAGCCAACTGCAACCCATGCACTTCCTCCACAAAAGGCTGCCCAGCCCTGTCTCACCTGGATGCCTCTGGCTTCTTACCCAGGGGTTCAGAGGGTCTTCTGTAGTGAGCTGCAGGATTCGCACTGGCTTATCTTTAAGGGTGATTGGTAGGCCTTCCTTGTCTGCCCACCAAGAGTGAGTCTCTGGTACTTAAAGCACTATCGGCACAGCTTCCAATATCACAGCACCAAACAAGCGACCACAGCACAACCACCTGCCCGATGGTAGTGGGTCCGATACAATAGTAACTAACTCCTGACCACTAAAACAGGGAGACTGTATTTGCGGAATTAAATGTAATTTTAATTATATTTAAATAGCCACAAATGACTACCTATTGCCATTGAGTCAATCCAATTCACATCAACTCTATATTGCTATGGGGGCAGTTAGCCTCATCTTTCTCCAGAGCAGCAGCTGGTGAGTTTGAACCACTGACCCTGAGCCTCACCAGGGTTCTTGGTGCCCAAAGCCAAACTCACTGTCATTGAGTTGATTTGGACTCATCACCCCTAAATAGTACAAGTTCCTAAACTTAGAACAGTGCTCTATAGGTTCTCTGAGGCTGGGGGAGCAGGACGCCTCATCTCTCTCCTGAGAGTGGCTGGTGGGTTTGAACCACCGACTCTACCATTAGCAACAACCCAACACCTAACCTGCAGTGCCATCAGGGTCCTTTAAAGATGACTAGTAGCAGCTATTTTAGGATAGTAGCATCTAGACAGATATTCCTAAGGAAGGGAAATCTGTTACAAACCTAGAACGAGCTGCGCAGCTTTAAATTGTCAAAATCTAACAAAAACAAAAAATTGTCCTTGATGTTGCTAGCTCACTGCAAGGATGGTATACTTTAATTATATGGTGCAGTTAGTTATCAAGAAAATGCTGAATTGGGTGTCTGGAAATCTTGATTCTTAACCCAATTCTGCTAGGAATCCTTTTACGGTCCTTCATTCCCTACTTGTGCCTCACGTTCCTGCTTTAAATAATCCAGGGGTAGACAGGACATATGATCTAAGGTATAAAATTAAAAGAAAGAAGCATTCTAAAAGCAGTAGCACATAATGAGGGGGTACCCCTTCCAAAAAAACCCGGGATTGTGCTGGGTGGAGCCAAGTTTTTATAGGACGCATTTTTCCTCTAGGCGAGTGCTAAGCAACTCGCTCCGAGTTAGTGCACCCAGTGGGAAGGTTCTCGCTGGCCACAGTGAGTTTTTTCTAAAAGCAGCTCCGCTTGATGTCTTTTGTGATGGCTGATTTAAGAGAACAGCGTGCGGCTGTGAAATTGTGTTTCCTGCTTGAGAAAAATGCTGCAGAAACTACTGTGATGTTGAACACAGGTTACAAGGACAGCACTATGGGAAAAACCCAAGTGTACGAGGGGCTTCTCATTTTAAAAAGGTGAAATGTCGACTGATGACAAGCCTCATTCTGGACGTCTGTCAACTTCCTGAAAGGATGAAAATGTCAACTCCCCGTGCATTGGGAATTTGTTCCACCAGGTCTGAGACTATAAATCAAGCTTTCTATTTAGAGGTTCTGAAAAGATTGTGTGACCGTGTGCGACAAAAAGGGACTGATTGAAGGCAGACGGGGGAACTGGTTCTGCCACGACAATGCACCTGCTCACATGGCCATCTCAGTGCGCCAGTTTTTGGCAAAAAAACAGCATGCCTCTCTTGCCCCAAACACTTACTCACCTGACCTCGCTCCGTGCCACTTATTTTTGTTTCCATGAATGAAGAGGGATATGAAAGGACAGCGATTTGAAGACAGAAGAGATGAAGAAAAAAAACAAGGGAGGTGCTGTCAGCCATACAAAGAAATGAGTTTGAAAAATGTTTCCAAGAATGGAATCGAAGATCTGACAAATGTATTAAGTGTAATGGAGAGTACTTTAAAGGTGATAAAGTTATTTTGTAAAACAAGTTAAATACATAGGTTCGGGGTGGGGTGGCGGCGGGGGGGAGATGCGGGTTTTTTGGGGGGATACCCCTCATATATTAGACAAGGTAGAATTCTCTGTGATTTTTTAAAAAGTGTACTCTATCCTTGTCCGCAGCAAAGAGAGATGAGAATTGAAGATGTATGGACTAAGGGGACACATGGACTGCAGCCTCCGTGACCACTCTGAAGGGAATTACATTAGAAGCTCCTGGATCGAAGAGGAGAAAATGTGGAGTAAAACCTAAACTCATAAAAAAGAGGACAGAACTCTCATGGCTATGGCCCTTCCCCACCCTTCAGGCCGGTGGCCCCCACACAAGGGCTCGGAGGAGGATGGCGACCGCCGGGAAGGGAGCCCTCCTTAGAACTGTCAACCGCTCGGGGTCACAAGGGCAGTATGCGCTGAAGGACGAAGCCCAGCAGGCAGGAAAGGGGGAGAGGAGACAAGGGGTTCCCAGGCAGGCATGCAAACAAAATGCGTGCATCTTCGATGTGCTCTATAAGCCTTCCCCCCACTCACAAGAGAAAGTGCTTTAAAAGGTACACTCCCAGAGAAGTAGTGGTAACTTGCAAACCAGCCGGTGAACTGCCTACAGTGCCTTTTGTGGGGCCAGGTCTTGGTCCATAGCTGGGCTCCTCTTCGATGGTAACAAGGGAGAATAATAATCATTACCATCTACAGAATTATGTCTCAGTCGTCTTAACACTTTCTATCCCACTTTCTCCTTAAAGACAGCGACTTTACCGAGGTTGGGCACCTAGCTGGCAGTGGAGCTGGGCTCGAAGCCGAGACTGAGACTGACGGCTGAGCTCCAGGGACGCATGAGGAGAAGCAGGACTCGGCACAAGCCTTACTTCCATCTCTTGCATTCGGAGCATCATGGTCTCTAGCGTTGGAGTGTCCTTGCTGTCCTCCGAGATCTTCGTGAGGGTCCCAGCCCACAACTTATGAGTGGAGTCTTCCGGAGAACCATCCAGCAGACGCACATGGCTGGAATCAGAGCCAAGAGGCAAAGGCTACAAAACAAGGGTGGGGGTGGGACAAAGAAAACAGACACACTGAGTGATCACTGCTGGGCACCGTGAACCAACCGTGTGGTGGTTCGACTGGCAGAACTGTTACACTGAAACAAACCTCTCCTAAATCACCAGCTAGCCAAAGCAATGGACACGAGTGCACCTTCTACAACAGTCAGGTAAATGGAACATGGTGTGACTTGGGCCATTTTCCTTGGTGCCCAATGGAGGCAGTCGTAATACTAGCGGCTCTGAGAGTTGAATGATTCTTCCTATGTAAAAGTGCTTCCCAAATCAGCACTGTCAGGGTTCAATAATCACCTCTACATGTTTTTCCAGCTGGGAGAGCAGGGTTCCTATGGCTGCACACAGGGAATGTCCGACAGTACACATGCCACATACTGCAGAGTACCTACGCATTCTCTCCTGGGTCACTGCTTTCGTTAAAACATCTGTCCACAGAGTCAATGAAATGATTTAAAACAAACCAGCAACTTCTGTCCATAACACCACCTATGTCACAATCCTTTTGAAACTTCCTACCTATCACCTGAGCATGTTGCAGCAGCCTACTTCCACCTTGTGTCCTTGACCTCCCCAGAGTACCTTACAGCTTGCAAAGCATGCTCACATGCCGGATCTTTCTCCTGACTCTACTACATGTCTTCATGTGCTCTGAAGGTGTTCGCAAAGGCCTGCTGGGAAATGATCATCTCAGGCTATGGAATGAGACACTGCAGGGATGAAAGCTTGGCCCTGCCTACTGATGTGCCTGCAACCTCAGGTCTGGTTACTTAACCTCTCTGGACCTCAAGCTTCTCATCTGTAATATAGAAATGACCACCTTACATGTCAGAGATGCAAGGATTACACGGGAGCTAGCATACTACAAGGTACTTAATACAGTGTTTAACATGAAATCAGAGACTTGATGAATGGTCACTTCTACAGCAATTTAAAAAAATATTTTAACTGTTCACAGAGTCAAATATATTAATGGCCAACAAAAAGATGAAAAAGAGGCTCAGCCTTAGTCCAAGTCAAAAAATTTAAAAACCCAACACAATTACAAAAAAAATCTAGAGGCGACAGAGAATACAAATCTAGTTAATTATGAGGAGTCTCTGTGTATACTACTTTCCAGTTATGTAGCATGGAATACCAATAATATATTATGCATCATTAAAAAAAGACTAAAGAATATCTAATGTGCTTAGGGAGCCCTGGAGGCACTGTAAGGCGAGCATTGGACTATACGCCACAGGTTGGCGGTTCAGGCCCACCAGCCACTCCTCAGGAAACAGGTGAGGCTGTCGACTCCCATAAAGATGTGTGCGGCCTTGAAACCCTATGTAGGCTTGCTGTGGACCAGAACCCACTCGACAGGGGTGGGTTTGGTGCCGATTTGTACTAATGTGCTAGTAATAGAGAGTGCCTCGGTGGCACACACGGCTAAGTGTTCAGCTATCAGCTCCAAAGCTGGTGGTTCGAGCACATCCAGAGGGAAGTTCCACAGAAGCAGGCCCAGTGACCTGCTCCCAAGGTCACAGCCTGGCAGATGCGGGGCCATCATGAGTTGGAAATGACTCCACAGGAACTTTGGGAAGGTTGCCAAAATACATGATAAAGGAAAAAGTCGGATCCAGAATAGTGTATGGGCCCCATTTCCGCCTCATCCCTTTCCTCAATGTTCTGGCCATGTACATGCATAACCTCACAATGTTAAGAAACTCGAACATTTTGAAAAACGTTTCTTGTGCAGGCCTGTTTACGGCCAGGAGCAGCGGCAAGAGCGCAGCAGCTGAGATGGCCATTCGTAGGCTTTTCCGACCCTCGCTGTACTGGCCCAAAGGACCACATTATGCCGTCTGACCCAGATGTAAACAGGGGTGTGACCTTTGATGGTGCTGCCTGGGAAACTCTTTTCAACGGTTTGCGCATTATTACAGCATCCCAGAATTCTAATACTCGACACATGATTGTAAAAGACATGAAAGCCTGTTTTAATGCCTGCTGAATAATTCTTACATAAAAAGCTGAGCCTTCAAAACCATCTACTCCAAGGGCAGCATCTGTGGTCACTCGTTTCTCTCATATTCAAGGGCACCGAGGCACGGCCTCCCGAGGTGAGACGGCGGGCCTGCTCTTTTGCTTGGAGGGAAACTATGACCCCTGGTTTGTGGTGTGCTGTATGCAACAGCAAGCCACAGCACACTTGAATGAACTGTAGGTTCGCAGTGATCAGTCTTCAGCGCCTCCCCTCACATGAGCTTCTGACCATCCCCAAGATCATGAGACTGAGCTGCAGCTGAGTACCACTGACTGCTTAAGATGAGAATAACATCTTGACGTCGACATTCTTCCTGTCACTGGGCGGGAAGGGCCAGTGGCCAACTGGCCAGGAACTGTGCCCCCACCCGCTGACAAGCAGGCCACCAGGGGAAGAGCAAGAGGATGGACAACAATGGGTGGCTTCCTCATTCTCAAATGGTTCCCTTTTTCTTCCTCTCTGCTGGGCCACCTACCAGTCATGCTCTCAGGCCCTGGAGACCAGCTTGCCTCGCGAGAACTACACGGCTCAAAGCAGAAAGGAAACTAGGCCCTGAACAAGCTGCCAGACGGGGCTGCTGTTCCTCTTCCCTGGCTGCCCGCGTGCCCTCGGTGTCACACGGAGACAAACAGAGATGCTGACACAAACCTGTGGCTCCAAGTCCTCATAGTGCCTGCACACTGTGAGAATGTCGGAAATGCAACAGAATTCCCACCCGGGAGCAGGAACATCCTGAGACGCTATCTGCATCTGACTGAAGACAGAGCCTGTAACGATAACATGCCAACCCAGAGGACTGACAAATAAATAAAATCCCACTGCACACACACCTCCTCTGCAGGCTGGCCGGCTGCCGTACTTCCTGACGGACGGTTCTCAAAATGGGTGTTTGTGTCCAGAGAAGAACGGACTCTCTGTTAAGACAGACCAATATGTTAATGGGTGATAAAAACATACAAATGAATCTGGCAACCAGAATAACATCAGTGTGGAAGCAGTCATCAGCATCAGCTACGCTGGGCTGTTTGCAGCAAAGCCAAACACTCTGTTCGTCTGGAGACACATGAATACCACATGCCGACTTTGGCTTTTTTCTTTTCAATCA